TTCTGTTTCTATTTTCCATATCCCTCATCTGTCTTCCCATAGCACTATTTGCTTACAGCTATATTGGTGGTTCTCAAGCCTGCCTATTCATTAGTCTCACCTGGGAAGCTTTTAAAATATACCAATGCTGGGGCCCCATTACCAAAGACTTTAATTTGTCTTGGTTGATGTCCTGTCCTATATAAAATGGTTTAAAGCTTCAAAGGTGATTCTAATGTACAGACAAGGTTGAGAACCTCTGTTCTATATATTATTAATCTTATTGCATTATGATTATTTGTGAGTCTTTTTCTCCCACTGGAGTTTTTAGTGCCTTAAGTCAGAGACTATGTGTGATTTATATACGAATTCCAATGCCTACTGGATTTGATCTATGGAACACTTACATACAAAAAGTGCTCAATGGGATACTCCAAACAATCCAAAATTCAACAGCACCATCTCTTACTCAAGGAGAGTACAACCTGTTATGGAAATAGCAGAAAAGAAAAAAACCCTAATACACCATTACTATGACCTAATAAGGCTATAAGGGAAGTAAAAATAAAATATTAGAGGGGAGAGTCAAATTGACTTGAGAAATGAAGAAGGCATAAGGGTGGACTCTTAGGCTGGACCATATGTAGAATTTTGGAAGTTTTTTTTTTTTTTCTTTTCCTCAGACATTCCAGGAATGAATGGAATGTTGAATAGGATTGTGTAGATGGTTTTTGACAGAAAGAAATAGAAAATAGCAGGGAGATGAGGAGAACAGAATTTCTTGTAAAAGAGACCAAAAAGAGGAAAAATAAAAGGGTGGAAGTGTGTGAAGCCCACTCAAGAAATAGTTCATATGGCATTTAAGAAAAAAGTACAGGAGAAGTGGGTGATGAAGGTAGACATTTGGTTGGGTAAAACCATGGAGGTTTTCAATGCCCAGTGAATGAGTTGTCCTTCAAAGTTTCTAAGCATAGGAGTAAAATGTGCTCAGATACTGTGCTTTAAAAAGATCACTCTTCCTAATTATCTTGTGGCTTTTAAAGAATATGTTTCCATGTGATCTGAATTGCATTATATAAATGCTATAAGCAAGCTTTTCTTATGCTAAAATCCTTTTCATTATGTGGTCAATGTATTCATCAAGAAATAGATCATCAAGGAATAGAAACATAAATTGCATCTGTTCTCAGATGACAAGATTTCACTGGCTTAGCTGACAAGAAAATGAAGGTCAAATAGTACAATGGCTGTGGTAGTTCCCCCACCAAACCTGGCCTAATAGACTTGGCTATCCTTTGGGAGAGGACCAAAAGAAAGAAGAGGCAGAGAGAATTTCCTTCATTTAAGGTGATTTTTCTGTCCTGTAAAATGTAATTGTTCACCCTAACCTAAAGTCCAAGTTACTAATTTCATATAGTCAGATTTAAAATTGCCATTGACTGACAAATGCAGTATTTTTTTAATGGAAAAGGCTGCAGAAAAAGTATTGGCATGGCATGTTATCTCTTTAGGCATTATGTCTATGCACAAGTCAGCTCTTAATGGAGAGGCTGATACTATGTTCACCTGTGTCTACAAATATGTCCTATAGAGAGTTCTTTTAAGTTCCACACTAAATTGTTTTTTTAATTTATTTTACATTTTTTCATTGTATTAACATTAATAAAACAGCAGGATATATAACATATGAAAAATCTAAAGCATTCAATGTTTACAAGCACTGAACACACTTTTCTCTTACTTTTATCTTAAATTTGATCTAGAAGCTGTCTGTGCATGTGTGTATGTGTGTTGCTATGTAGCATCCCAGTGAGAAGTGATGAATAGAGAAGGATTCATATATTCATACAAATATTTAAAACTTAAGAACTATTACTCAGGGCTGGATATGGTGGCTCAAGCCTGTAATCATAGCATCTTGGGAGGCAGAGGCGGGAGGATCCCTTGAGCCCAGGAGTTTGAGGTTGCAGTGAGCTATGATGATGTCACTGCACTCTAGCCCAGGCAACAGCAATAAAGATCCTGTCTCAAAAAAAAAAACAACGAACGAACGAACGAACGAACGAACGAACGAACGAACGAACGAACGAACGAAAGAAAGAAAGAAAGAAAGAAAGAAAGAAAGAAAGAAAGAAAGAAAGAAAGAAAGAAAGAAAGGGAGAGAGAAAGAAAGATAGATATTACTCAGGGTCTAACCAAAGAAGTCAACATTTGTCTTTGCCAGTAGCATATAGTGATATTTTATAAAATTATAGGGTTAGGTTCCATGTTTCACATACTGATGCTTTATATGCTCAACTAGATTCTGGGTGCCCCATGGAGAGTTTTGAGTCTTCTTATTGTGTTATGCAATTTAAAATTTAATTGAGAAAAATAAATTAAGTCAATTCTCAAGGTAGAAACTTAATACTTCCAGACAAGACGGAACAAACACAATCTATTTAACTTCTCCTGCTAATCACAATAAAACACTCTGGACCAAATATATATGTCACCTAACAAATGACTCTAAGAGGTAAAGGAAAAAAAATATGTTGGTTAGGTGCCTCAGGACTTAAGGAATGACATGATAGTGAGTTCCATGGGTTTTTTTCTTACCTCCTATATGTCTAAGCCTGGGAGCCAGAGAAGCTTTCAGTGCAGCATAATGCCCCCCAAAATAGCACTGAATGAAAGCCGAAGAACTGGAAAAATGGTGGCCTAACATAACGCAAACCTTCTAAGTACACTAAATAGCTCTGGAAATGAATACCACAAAAAAGTCGTGCCCCTCCTCCACTCAAAGGATGATGCCAGGTCAGTGAGAAACATCCTCATGCCCCACTCTGTAGAGCCTATGGACAGAAACCTATCCTCCACTCTATCCCCACTCTAGTAAAGAGATGGCATTCCTTCCCTATGGGTTCTGTGGTTTGAATAGACTTGAACTCCCATAAAATAAATTATAAGGCGATAGAACTACTTTCTACAGCAGAAAAGTTTGGGGGAAGGGTGTGAGTATTAAGGGGTAATCCAAGGGACTTTCTTCGTGGTGGTGCAAGAATTTTTTTTTTTAATTTGATGTTGTTTATTTATAAATCCTATTGAACTCAGAAAAAGTGGTTTATATAATTTTTTTCTTTCTTTCTTTTTAATCTACCACCTAGAAGACCATCCCATGCCTATACAATTTATGTGTTAAGGTTAATATTGAGGACCCCAAAACAAAAGAAGCAAGAGTTCTGTCTGATGATTATGGTGATGGTTACTCTAATCTACACATGCAATAGAATTTCATAGAACTATAAACCCTCCCTACCAAAAGACAAACAAAAGACACCCCCAAAACTGGAGAAATCAGAACAAGAGCTATAGCTGAGTTAATAATATTGTACCAAAGTCAATTTCTTAAAAAAACAAAAAAGAAAAGAAAATTATGTATGCATTGGTAAGTTTATATACTTAAGTAACAGCATGTCAATTATTTAATTCTAACTTGCTTTAAATGTTATCTTCCTGAACTTCTGGGCATCAAAAACCAAATTTTATATGTTATAAATGTGATAATTTTTTTTTTAATTCTGGTTTTGCCATTTAAATAGATTTTCTAATACAACCACTAAACCAGCTGTGATGAATGAATGAGCTCAGGAACTTTCACCCCAAAATATGACTCCTTGGTATAAAGAATATTTTAAAGTAAAGGCCCTTATGGATCAACAAGTCCTTGGAAGGTGCTTCACCTATATCTTGGCATAACCAGATGGATCCATCAAAAGAACAAGTGACTACCCTCCTGCTCCCTGTTATAGGAATATATTGCAGGAAAAAGATCAAGAACGCCACCAGACCTGTCCCAAATCATTTTAAATGTAATACCTGTCTTTCAGATTAATTTACAAGTTAATCTGCTTCCTCACCACCCATTCATTCTCCCAAGCATCCAGTCATCCTCCCTAGCAACCATTTATTGCCCCTAAACAGAATTACCTATACTCCTCATCTCGCCCTCCCTGCTAAAAGGATGATATAAAAATATCTGGATCCCACTGGGATATTGGATAATCACTCTGTGATTCTCCTCATGCACACAGTAAATAAACCTTTTCTCTTATTAATCTGCCTTAATTGTGAGTTGATCTTTCAGTGAAATTTTGGGAGAAAGGGGAAGTTTCCTCTCACCTCCACACTAAAGAATGACTCTTTTTCCCTAATTTTCAAAATTTGGGTTTGTAATCCAACAAGAGTCATTATTTGAAAAGGAAAGTTATTCCTCATATCTAGGCCACGATTTTTATGGTTTATGTGAGTGTAGGCATGGTCAGAGAATTTACAGGATAAGCTCAACTGGATGGGACCTGAGGGAGGGACATGAGGGATGCAAAAGCTTAATAGGGCAATTTTTAAAAGCAGCTAGAATCAAAAACTGGAGAAAGGACATATTAAGATTATAATAACAATGATAATAGTTTGGGTTTTGTGTCATGCCTTTTCCCTAAGGAATAGGTTGTTTTCTCATTTAATCTCATCACTTAACATAGAATTCTGTACTAATGTCTTTTTCAAAGGGAACAATGAAATGACAGGGAAGTTATGTGCACTGTCTCAGGCCACAGTGGAAATCAAGAATAGAGTAAGAGTCAAAAATTAGGACACATGCTCTCCATTAAGCACCTTGGGGTCCACAGTAAAATTAGACTATGTTTCCAGCAGAATTTCTATCTGAACATCATTCCTTTGGGTGAGCAATGGTTGATTCTAGAATGTCACCTGTTCCCTGGTAGCATGGCTTCTAGGAAAATTTCCTGCCAGTACAGGTCTACTCAATAAAGCCTCATACTCAAGCATTTTGGTTACTTTAACATCTTCTCAAGTAGTTTTGAGAAATTCAACAGCATTATGTTACGGAATGGGTTGGAGATGTCAAAAACTGTTCATTATGATGGGCCAACCATCTTTATCCTAAGCTTGTATACAGACTTCCTCAAAGGGAAGATAATATTAATGAACTGTGTGCTTTCCTTTCTGTGTGGTTTACTTACTTTCTTCTTTCTGTCTCAAATCTATGAAGTAGTTTCCGAAGACCGCCATTCTTAAATCCCTGAAAATGGGCAGCTGGGGCTCCCACGGTGATGACATCGTAGAGAGCATCTGGAACAGAACAGACAAGGAGATGAACACTTCCCATTTATCTCTGGCGGCATGCCATTTGCATTGAAGCATACATACTGTGGGAATATGAGAAATTATTCTGTTTAATTTTTGCAGGAATAACTACAAACTTGCATCTCATGGGGGCAAGAAGAGCTAATCAATCTTTCTAAAAGCCACCTGTGCACCTAAACAAGATATAATATTTCCCTGATTGATGACTACATCTTAATTATATGCTGTAGTGTAGAACAGTATGTTCTCCCATTCGTCTATATACTTACTGAGATAACATGTTAATTGCTCTTTTGTGTATTTTACTTTATTGAGTTTTGCATCATTTAATTTGCAATCATATTGAAATTCAACAATAATGAACAATCTTTCAACCAAATTTTACACAGAAAAGAATCAAAATATTAATGCATTTTAGCTCAAGGGCAGAACAATACTGGTACATTTTAAAAAAAAATCTATACAGAGTACTTTCCTGCTGTGTATACTAAATCTTACACAATTTTGAACACATGCTTTTGCAATTTCCTTAGGTGACAGAGAAAGAATACATAAAATGTCTCGATCTATTTTCTAGCAAGATACTTTGTTTTTATAATACAAAATCCATACATTTAAATTGAAACTCAGTCCTCTTATCTTGAAAGCGGTCAATTTTCATACATATTAAGTTTATGGCTTCAAAACATGCTATCATTTCTACATTCTAATGAAAACTATCCCCATAAGAAGGAAGACAGAGTGAATGTCTCCTTGTTAAACTACATTTTATTTGAGGAATGTAATTTCATAGTAGATCCTTTTCAAACTGATTTTGGTATTGACACATTGGTTGTTTTTTCAGATCTCATTTACTGGGAAAACATAAATTATTTTATTAGCTTCAGGTAAACACCATAACTTCTTCAGAGTAGTTCAATCCAGATGCACCTAAAATTTTTCTTTTAATAAAAAATGCCCTCAAAGTGAAAGACTTCAGCAGCATTCAGAAAATGCAAGGTCACAGAAAGAATACAACTCAAACCAATCTATAAATAAGGCACAAACCGAACAATCACTTAATAGGTCACTGTGGAGGTAAACTCTTGCCCTTTCAAAAAGTGACTAATAAACTTGAAGTCAGCTTTTCTTAAGATGGCAGAATATTAGATTTATAAGAAATTTAAATATTTTCTATGCTGGAGGTTTTAACCTAGGGCAAGAAATGGGTTTCGAGGTGTCCATGGATAGATGAATATGTGTCCACCTTTTGTCCACCATGGAGAGAGGACACAGCTTACTCAAAGGGTCATGAGATCATCCCAAATTACCAACACTGAATTCTAGTCCACCTTCATTTATCTCATGAGAAACCTGAGGATCATGAGAAGTTAACTGGCTTGTCAAAAGCCCCAAAGACTTTATACCTAGGGTCTTCTGACATCTTAGCCAGGGACAGAGAACCAGTATTCCCTGAAGGTTTAAGTAATTGATTGGAACGTGGGTCCCTAGCTTTGGATCCCAAGTCTGCCACTTGTAAGTGTGTGGCATTGGGAGAATGGTTTAACTTCTCTATGTCTCAGTTTTGTCAGCTATAAAATGGAATTGAAAGTAGTTACAAGTGATAAGTATTCAGTAAATATTATCAATGATCGTTATTTTCCCTTTTAAGAAACAATCCCACCAATTAAACAAAGAAAGGTGATATTTTAACTTTTGTTTATTTCCCCATAAAAATAAACTTTCCAGTTTGAAAAGGAAAGTTGATGCTGATGCTCAGCTTTCTAAATACATGAGCTCCTCTTTTAATTTAAACTAAACACAAAGCAACAAGTCATGATGACAATGCAATACAATATGCTGTGTTTCTGCCAAATTTGAGTGACCAGCAATACCAATAACACACAGAGTGACTAAAAATATTATTCAGCCTTAAAGAAGAAGGAAATACTGCCATTTGTGACAATATGGATAAACCTGGAGGATGCTACGTTACGTGAAATAAGCCAGTCACAGAAGGACAAAAGACTCCACTTATAGGCAATATCCAAAATAGTCAAACTCACAGCAGCAGAAAATATAAGGGTGACTGTCAAGGAGGGGGAAATGAGGAGTTGTTATTTAGTGAGTACAAGTTTCAATTACACAAGATAAAAAAATATTATAGATATCTGCTGTACAACATAGTGCCTATATTTAAAAACACTGTACTGTACACATAAAAATTTAAGAGGGTATATCTCATGTTAAGTGTTCTGCAAACAATGACAACCACCACAAAAAAAAAACACAAAAGGCCACACGAAAACTTTTAGAGGTTATGGATATGTCTATTACCTTGATTGCAATGGTAGTTTCATAGGTATATGCCAATTTATCGATTGTGTATATTAAATATCTGCATGTTTTTGTATATCAATTTTACTTCAGTGAAACTTTTTTCATGTGTACATATGTACTACTAAGCCCAAACTAAATATATTCTCACTTCAATTTTTGAAAAAAATTAGCCTGTAGCCTCTCCACTGGATTTGATAAAGCCTGTGGCCTCTTCCATACCACCCAACAAGAGGAGAAGAATGAGGAAAGGGAAAGCTGAGTAGAAAGAGACAGAACTCTTAACTGATGGACAATTAAATAACTTACCACTGACAAATTTGCAAAAGCATTTGACCACAAACATTTTGCTGGGGCTCCCTGTGAGAGGCCATGCAAATGAAGGGCCCTGAAATTTCAGCTTTCTTAGCTTCTTGGTGAATCTGTCTCTTCAATCCATCCATAATTTCAGCATCTTCTAAAGCTACTTTCTAGGAACAGAAACTTTCTCTATCCATCCACCTCACTAACCAATCATGAAATTCTAGTCATCTATGAAGAAACCAAAAGACTCTGAAGTAGCAGACAAAGGTCAAGTTGCTTGAATAGTCTCTTCTCCTCATAATAAAGAGCTAATTATTTATTTTTGAATCTCAATGAAGAAGTCTGTGTGTTTACAGTACCTTCTATAGTATAACTTTTAAAGTTGTGATCAAGCTGTTCCATAGGTTCTGGCATTAACTTCCACTCTATTTTCTATTTACAAGCTCATTTCTTTTAGGGTTTTCACACCATATTTTTACTGAGGCCTATACAATCTCCTGCCTAGTTCTGATCTCTTTAAAAAAAAATAATAATAATCTAATTCCTAGCTGCCCTATGCACATCTCCGCGTGTTGACCAGCCTATTAAGCTTACCTTGTCCTAACTCTTGACCCCAGCCTTCCCTGGATCCCCGTGACCACTACAGTCAACTCATTTTTATTAAGCATCCCACAGTAGAGTCCTCAAGATCATTTTCAATTCCTCTATTTTTTCATCCTTATATCTGATCAGTTCTAACAACTCTGCTACCAAAATCTTAACGCTTGTCCATGTTAAGGATCTTTACCTTAGTGCTGAACTTCCTCATTTCTTGTTGGGATTACTACCACCTCTTCAACATCAGCCTCTCTGCATCCTGTTGTGGTTCCCTTCTCCTGCAGAGGTGGCTAGTAAGTCACTCTGCCTGAAACACGGGCTTCACTACTTGATCCCTCCTCACAAATTGCAAATATTGATAGAAGAACATTCAGACATCTCAATGCCATATTTTGTCTATCTATGATGTGGTTCCAACTTCTACTTGGTCACGTTATCCAGTGTCTTTTATAAGCACCATAAAAGTGGAAATGATTGTAGTCAAATTCAAGGAATATGCTCAGTGCTGGGCACATTGAAAGTACTCCTCATGTACTGCATGATTGGTTGCTGCCTAGTTAGAACAATTCTATATTTCTGAAATATCATATATACTTTGAAGCCTTTCTATCTTTGTCCTTGTGTTCTCAGACTTTTTTTTCCCCATACTCACCCTCCTCTCATTTTTTTTCACTGACTACAGAATCCCCTCCTCATTTACAATCAAACTCAATTATCACCTTCTCTTTGAAGCCTTCCTGAATATATTCCAGTCAAAATAACAGCTCCTTTTATCTATATTTCCACATTGCTTTGTCTTCACCTTGAAGATTTACTCATTTCTTCCTTATGATAGTTTCTATACCCAAATAAAATAATGCCTATGGCCATAAAAATTTTATAAATGTTTTGAGCTGTTTTCTCCATTGTGTTTATGTTATTTGCATCTATGAACTATATTTACTTAATAAATAATAACAATCCTAATAATAATGATGCCTGCAATATAGTAAAAGCACAGTAAAAATTATTAAATGAATGAATGATAATAGCCAAAATTTATTGAGTGCCTACATATATTATTAGATCCTACTAGGCAGTCTACATTCAGGATCTCACTTAATTTTCAAGATAATCCTGTAAAATAAATCTTGTTTTCCCAGATTTAGAGGTAAGGAAACTAATTCCCCTTAAGACTGAGTATTAATAACTTGTCTGGTCTCATGCTAGAAAGTTTCAGATTTGACATATTTTCCAACGTCTGACTCACTAAACAAACAAACTTATGTTATAAACAATTTTCAATGTCTTAGTCATGCTTAGATTATCCATTAGCTGGAGCAATGATGTGCCTATATACTGGATGCTCAATAGAGCTTGTTTGCTTTAACATTTTAGATATTTATTTCTATAACGAAGTATCTTTTGATCGCATCAAAAAGAAGACTAAACATTTATTGTTAGTGGTCTCAGATATCAAACAAAAGCTTGTAATACACAAAAATCAAGATGATTAAACTGACCTGACCTATATTATTCTAATCTTTATTATTTCACTGAACAAATGCCCATTGAACATATCCTATTTTCAAGAGTTACCTTAATTTCCTGTGAAAATTTAATATTGGAACCCTGAGAGCTTGTTTGGAGGTTCTAGCCAGGGAATGGATATACCCTTGACCAAAGAATGGTCCTCCTCTATCAGGGAAGGTCATCCTCTTTGAGCGCACAGCTTCAGGAGGGACACACATGGAGCAGTGAGGGAGGAAGGGGACACGGGCTTAGCTAGC